AAAAAAAAAACAAAAGGATACGTCCAGAATTGCACGAAATAACGTGATCTAACCAAAATTTTTTTTTTGCTCCATTACTTATGATCGCCACTGTATAAAGTTTTAAAAATTTCTTGCACACATAGAATATAGAGGGTGTGCATTTACTATTATTGTCCAAGCTTGGGACCAAAATTATGTGTTCATTTAAAGAGGGTGTGCAATTATAGAGAGTGCAATTATGGAGGTTCGACTTTATTTTGTTTTAGATATACAGTATAATATAAAATGAACTATCTATATATAAAATAAACTGTCTGTCTATAAAATAAACTGTTTTGTAAATTGTTTATAAAATAAGATATCTATAAAATGATTGTCTATGAAGTAATGCGTACTCCTTCACATGCAATTAAGACTTTATATCGTTTTTCTGCTAAAGCAATTCATCAAATGTATTAAGGATTTGATCATCGATAGTTGATCCGACTTTTAACCAACGTTGACCCGGATCAAAGATCCTTTAGACGGTTCGGATCATTAGTGTAGAATGATTGTGATGTTAAATGTCGTTGCGTTGAAATGTAATGGGGGTTTATTAGATCATTGATATTAATATCTTCTGATTTAACCATATGTGAGTAGGCTGAAGAAAACCAGACTTTAGCTCTTAAATTTATAACTTAACGGACTTAATCCTTAAAATATCTGAAGAATTGAGTCCAATAAGTTATAAATTTATAAGACTAAAGCTTAATTTTTCTTTGATGTCATAAACTGCCAATTTTAATTCGAAGCGCGTTTCCCGTTTCAACTTTAACGCATTTTAAACTCAAATTTCAATCTGATACGACTCGGTTATAAACCCATACCTATTTTAATTTCAAGCAGAACTGTGTAATGAATATAATAATGATTAAAGTAATAAAAATACGTTCTTGAGTATTCACACAAGCTTTTTATACCAAAACGTCAAAAATCTGGCATTGAATTAAGAAAGAACACTAATTGATCAAAGACTAAAAAATAATGTTTGTTTTTTTTTTATCCATGAATACTACACCACGTACTTTTACTTTTCGCCATCGATTAAATATCTAGAATTAGATCATATCGGTCATGTGTTCGTCCAAGAAGTAACATTAAAGCAGAAAGCTAATACACTTATGAGAACATTGTGTAAGGGCACCTCACTCGCTTGATTAGACAAATTCTAGTTAGTTTGTAATTGGATTAACTATACAAATTGGTCGGTTAACTTAATTAATATTACCGACTAATTAGATTTTTTGTTTCCAACTCGTCGGGTGAAGTGCAATAATTTAAAGTTGAAGTGAAAGTAAAAGGAATATATGTAATAAAAGGAGTTGGTTAGATTATTAGTACAATTAAGATATTACTATACTATTTCTGCTTCAACAATATATGAGTGACGCCAAGGGAAAACCAGAGATTTCGATTTTAAACTTATAACTTATCGAGCTCAATCTTTAAAGTCTGAAATGGGTTTGGTAAATTATAAGACCCGAAATGTTTAGCATTACTCATAAATTATCAATTTTAGTTCAATACATATCTCAAACTTAAATCTAATTTCACGCACAATATATATATAAATTGAACCTTTGTTTTTCACCGATTAGGATAAATTATTACATATATCTTGGGTACATCTCTGGTCTCTGTAAATGCTCTGTAAATGCTCTGTAAATGCCCAGATACGTTTGTCAGCACTTATGCCCTGTTATGATAACCAATCAGATCAACATGCAACTGCAATCTAGGAAATGTTAGCGTTAGCGTTAGGTGAACCTTGCAATAATAAAATCATCATTGAACATGCACGATTTTGGTCTAATTATCACCAAGCTTTTTTGGAAATGTCAATCTTAATAAGAGATCAATTAGTCGATTTAATAAAAATAAAAAATAAAAAAAATGGCCAACTAAGTTGATAATTTGCTTTGCATCTATCGTTGTCGGGTAGGATCACTATCCTGAGACAAGTTACCATATAACGATGAACTGCCGATCATTTTTTTTTGGCCAATAAAAAACGAACACACTATCGTTATATTGGTACCTTCAAATTATTGTAATGTCTTCGACAGTTGTTTCGGCACCCGGCAAAGTTCTCTTGACGGGCGGATATCTAATACTTGATAGGAATTATGAGGGACTTGTAATCGGAACAAGTTCTCGCTTCTATACTGTAATTCAACCTGGTGACAATTCATCAAAAATTATTATCCACACTCCACAGTTTGACGACCCAAACTGGGAGTATAAAATTGCAATAAAAGAAGGATTATGTGAACTCACCGCACTGTAATTTACTTTATATTTAATAAATTATTTAGTTTTCAATAATTTAATCGATTTTTTCTAAATAATATAGTGACAAGGATAGACGTAATACGTTTATTGAGACTGTCCTAAAACATAGTTTGTTAATTATTGCAAACCGTATTTCCAGTCAAAAATTCGATGAATTAATCCTTAAAGGGTTAAATATCTATATGGCTGGCAGCAATGACTTTTATTCGCAACGTGAACAAGTAAAAAAAATGAATTAAAATCTTTATCATCATTATTATTATTATTATTATTATTATTATTATTATTATTAAATTCATTTTCTTTAAAAATTCTTTAAAAATTAAAGCTAAAAAATTTGAATTTGCCTCTTACCACCACATCATTACGTGCACTGACCCCATTCTGTAAAGTCCATACCCTCCTTAAACAAGTTCACAAAACGGGTCTTGGTTCATCGGCAGCACTAACAACTTCCCTGGTTGCAGCTTTATTTGTTTATTTCGAATGCGTTGATAAAGTTAATGATGATGTCAAGGAAAGAACGTTAATTCATAATGTATCACAGTTTTGTCATTGTCTTGCTCAAGGCAAAGTTGGATCAGGGTTTGACATTTCTGCCGCCGTTTGGGGAAGTCACGTGTACAAGAGATTTTCGCCAACGATATTGGAACCAGTAATGAAAAGCGAAGTATGTACAATGAAAATAATAATAATAATATAATAGAAAACTGACTTTAATGAAATGAATACTAACATTTTTGTAAGAATGTTAGTATAGACGTTCTCAGCAAAATCGTCGATCCAGATTATAAGTATATATTGTGTTTTTAGTATCTCAGGACCATATAGCATACTTGGCTCTTATTCTTTCTATGATCTCTATTTTTTTTTATGCGTGTAGGTGGGACAATCAAATAACGCCATTTGGCCTTCCTCCGGAATTTAAGATGGTTCTTGCTGAGGTAGATTCTGGATCTAATACACCA